AAGACGCGCGTCGTGGGGGGCAGTTTTTGCTTATTTTTGTATTGAAAAAAGTCGCGCGCCGAGGAGGACGACGCAGGCAGACGACGCCTCAGAACTATGGTGCCTGGAACGCGTCTCCGACTGGTGTGTTTACCGCGGCCAAAAAAGTGGTCCCCCGATTTCCGCCTGATGACGTCATGGAAGTGTCATGCTGTCGCCGGCCGCGACCCTGGCGGCGTCCTAACAGTTGTGGTACAAATAGCAGACGCCTGTTCTGCTGCAGGTCGGTCCACGGAAGCTGCAGCAGCCGGAAGTTGGGACGCCGTGACGACAGTGACACTCGCGTTCGCTCGTGCTTTTCGCCAGCATTTCTACGGCCAACCGCCAGGATTGCGACAGGCAACAGCATGACACTCCGGCTTCTGTGACGTCATTTGTGGCCACATTGGGACCACTTTTGATATGTGGGCGAGATAGGACGCTAAACACACCAGTCGAAGACGTGATCCAGGCACCTACTCAGAAGTCAGAACCCAATTTTTCCCTCGACGCGCGCGCTTGAGCCAATCAGCGAGCGTCCGGACGTGAGGTGTCGCCCTTTTCCGGTTAGCATATGTTTTCGCCGTTTTTATTTTCGACCAGGGGGGTAAAGGTGGGTGAGGAGGAGTGGCAAATCCCGCGCGCCGACATCCTGGGTCCCGAGTGAAAGATCGCGATAGCGCGAAAGAGAGCGACAAAACACGAGAGAAAGAAACCAATGTTGCCAGCTGAAGGACGACAGTTGCAATGGTAATCGCGAAGACTGAAAACTCTCAGCAATATAAACAGTGATAATTTAACGTTGCAAACTAAATTCTGAGCTATTCTAAGGTTTATAAAAAGCAGCATACTCATTACGCTGCATTAACTTCCCTTCTGTCGGAATCTCGAAAATCTGGTAGTTGCGCAGTTTCGTATTTCCGGGCGCGGCCACCCGCGCCCGGAACTACGAAACTAAACCAGATAACCGAAGCCGGTTATCTGGTTTAGTTTAGTGTTGACGGGAGGCCGTACATCTGCGTGCTGTGCAAAAAGAAAGCTTCGAAAGGAACGCGAATATCTTTCCACCGGTAAGTTCGTGGATTGCTGAAGTTCATGGCACTGCTCTGATGATATATTTGTGAAATCGAAGGCAGTTGGTAACCATGTGGGACCCCGAGGGTCTGCATGCATTCTCCGCCGCTTGCGGCAGCCAGAATGCATGGGAAAATGGCGGACCTTTTCCTCTAGAGTTAGTATGTATGATCTCTATGTTTTCGACCCACAATGAACGCGAAAAGACGAACAGGCAGAGTCGCAGAGAGGTCGAGGTCGTGAACTCTAGTAGAGTAGACAGTTGGGCGAGTTTGTTGTTATCGAACATAGTTCCAGTTACAGTCATTATCCCTGTGTGCGCAACTGTAACGTGAACTCGCCAAACGTGGCTCTAAGCATTTCAGAGTGGAAAGAAGTAGGGGTGTCGCGAACCGGCTGAGGTTCGAGTTCGACCAGGTTCGACTTTTTCGACCTTTTTGGCGGAAAGATCGACGACTCGTGTGCGCATGCGCGACAGGCTGGCCAGTTGGGTTTGGGTTGGATGGTGATGACTAAGAGATGCATTAAGGGCAGCGCTGATTGGTTATTTCAGTTAATACAGTACAAAAAAAAAATTAAGTTATTAACTTCTTCAGTGATTAGAATTAGTTTCTTTTAATTGCAGCTGTTCACAAAATTCAAACAACCCTTTGCATAAAAAAAAAATTCTCCAAACCTAGACATGCTTGTATCAAGGTCTGGCCACACTGTCCATAAAGACATTGGCC